TAGGGGGTTTTAGCATTAGTATGAGCTTTAAATCAGTATTGTGATTGTGAAACCAAATAAAATAATTTATCCTAGTTTTGAATAGGGGAGGGATTAAAGTTGACAATTTATCAGTGTTTTTGCTAGCTCCAATGGTCTAACATTTCTTGAAAATATACCTAGAATATCCAGACAGGAAAAAAACAAAAAAAAAACTAATGCATGCGACATATGTAGATAGTGATTTCATGAGGAACATGAGCTAGCTTATACTAGCTAAAAAATAGAATAGCATTTTTAGGTACTGAAAAGTAGAGAATATATTTTACTGCTTCGGACGACATGATGATATAATAAACTAAAATATATTCACAATATTTATATGCATAACAGACAATTAAAAAAAAAAAAAAAAAAAAAAAAAAAAAAAAAAAAAAAACAACAACACACACATATTATATATATAAATAATATGTGTACATATATATATATATATATGTCCATAATCATCCGCAATTTGAATGTGAGATGTTCTTCAAAATATTCTTCATTTTATCTGTTGAAACATGTTCCCACGTTCATGTACGACGTTCATTATATATAACAAGATAAGCCTCTTAATTTGGTCCACGTGATAAAAGACAATCCGGCCATCTAGGATTCTCTCTTGACCTCCCGCAACAAAACGACATAAAATGATTATCGATTGCAACGAAATTCATCATGATCACCCAGGATTTTTTTTCTTCATTCCTTAGATTTTTTACAGAGTACAACAAAATAAAACTTGGGTTTCAACGGGAGGAGTTTCTTTTTCCTCTTTTTTTTTTGTTTTTTTTTTTTTTGGTGGAATTCGGTGAAACCTGATAAATATATTATCCTTGAATACCTAAGTCCTGCACTTCTGAGTTTGGCTTGCTAACTAATGATGCACTCAGATAAATGCAGAAGACAACCTTAATACTTGTAAATTAATTAATGTATCTCAATATAATTTTTAATTAACTTGACCGAAATATTTGCCCTAATTACTGTGGATCTCTTCTAGTCACCTAATTCTCTTCTCATCTTCATACCAACAACAACAACGAATAAACTCTTCCTTGTTCTTCAATAGAAACACTGGTGTTGTTTGTTATGATGAATCTTTATTATACGATTTTATTATAATAATAATAATACAAATATTTGTTTCGATCAAATAAATTCACCATTGAAAAAGAAGAAGCTACAACAACGTTGATAGATTATTCGTATATCTTGTTTGGAAAACTTTTTGAAATAACTTGTTAAAAAAATTATTCCGGTATCTTGAGCCCATATTTTAGGACATGAAATGATGGCTCACTACTGGGGGCGCAAGGGGTTGGGCGTTGCTCGGGGCTGGGATGGCGGAGCCTGAGTTGCTCAATGTGTGTGGGGCGCAACAAACGTTAGGTTTCTTAGGAATAGGGCAACGAGACTCAAGTCGGTCGGGGGTGGGGGCGACAGGGGTTGGGTCTCGCAAGGTGAGGGCGACAGGGAATAAATAGTCATCAAATTTGGGTCTTTTTTCATTTATGAAATGATTTATTGTTTTCATGGTGTTTGAGTAAGAGTAAATCTACTAATTTTGTTGTTTCAGTTTGATCTGACTTTTAAATTTCTGATTTTGTTATTATTATCATTATTATTATTAGGTTTTAGAGGTGTTTGAGTGTAATTTGATTTGTTCATTTTGTTATTTTGAAGGTGTTTGATCTGATGTTAATTCGATTCTCAGTATAGTTGTTTTTTAATGTATCTTCTTTTTTTCTTGGGGAATAATGTTGCTTGAACTACGGGTATCCAATTGAATTTTTCAAACGTGGAGGTATTAATTTTAATTTGATAAAGCGCTACATCCTATTAGAATGATATTTTCCTTATACAAATTAATTAACTTAGATGATGGTACGTAGTACCAAGAACAATAGAGATGAAATCAAACTCAGATTCTCTATCTAATTTTAGGCCTCGTTCATTTCACCGATTCGAGTTTTCAGTTTTAGGTTTCTACAGTAAAAAGCTCTCAAAAAATGTCACATCTAACTTTTTCTGCTACAGTGAAAAGCTCTCAGAAAATGTCACATCTCAACTCGAATTCGCGAAGTGAACGAGGCCTAGTGTTTCAATTAGTCTCTAACTAATTATATCATGTCATTATAGTATAAAATATTTGAACTGCTTTTTAACTAACTCTTTTGTGCTTATTAGGAGATGAAGTAGTATGATTTGATTGGTTAGTTAGACACTAATTGGGACGTAAAAAATTAGACAGAAAATCTAGATCTGATGAAATCCAAGTGCGGGCACACATGAGATACTTCTGCTTCAAAGTGTTACTCTGCAGAGTAAAATAAACAAGGTGCAGGAACAAAGAAGCATGGAAGGGATGTCATTGCCTTTGGAGCTTCGTAAAGGCGTATCGACAATATATTGTATCACATCGGTATCTTCTTTTATTTATGGACAAAAGAGATTTATTTTAATGGAAATTTAGAGAGTATACAACAAAAAAAATACAACAAGGTTAACGACTATTGATTAGACGACAATTTTTCTAACCGTTGTCTAATATTTTAACGGCGGATATTAACGATCATTAAATACCAGATTTCTATTAGTGATATTGACCGTTAAAAACTTAAACAGTTAAATTAACCATTCCTACTGTGATAGTTAAAAAGGATAGTCTCTACCATAGAAGTTCCCAACAAAACTGTTTCTCCTCCATTCCCTTCATAAATTAATTAGCGGTTATTAATTAATTGTTCCTTTACAAAAGCAGCCAGATATGTCATGCTAGTAGGCTTTATTATGTCTTTAGAGACAGCGAGTACACGTACGTATTCTTCCAATAAGCTTGGCCCCGAGAAAACTATGTACACTTCCAAAAGTAATTATATATCTTCGTTGAGCAGTTTCGTCAAACAATATTCCACTGGATAATGCAAACGTACTTAAGGATCGTAGACACCAACATGCCTTAATCTGAGGTGTTTCATTATAAGTTAAATGTGATTTAAGATGTGCAGTAGAATTGGGTCAGGTATTTTAAGTTCCATTAAGGCAGGGATGTAGCTAGTTAACGCCCAGAGGAGGCTACAATCTCCATGAGCCTCAACTAGCTTCTTTAGTGTTATTCAAAAATTAAAAAAAAAAAATATATATATATATAGTACTTATTTTTTCTTGTTTAGCCCCTCTAAAATTTTCCATTTCTAAGTTTTATCTTAAATTTTTAAAGAATTTTATTTATATCTTTAAGTTTGATACAAAATTTATATTATTTTACCCCTTTAAAGATTTTTAATTCTATATTGTGTAGAACATTTTAAAAATTTTCATTTAAACTCTTAATTTTTACTTATAATAATATTCTATTACATAATTAATTTAATTTAAACTTTTGTAGTTAAATTCAAGCCCTCCTAAAAAATTTTCTGGTTTTTGTCACCCCTTGAAATTTTAAACTGACAAAGAGAAATGAAGACGAAGTGACACCAATATAATATATATATAGATAATTTTATATATATATATATATATATATATCACTGTTGGAATCTAAAACGTAGATAGACAATATAATTAGCCTATATTAGATGCTTCAGGATAGGGGTGGCAATTTGTGTTCTTGTATTGTGTTCGTGTCGTGTTGATCCCCTCAATTGACATAGTAAGACCTAACACGAACACGACCTATTTATTATTCGTGTCAAAATATAAAACTCACACATGACCTGTATATTGGCGGGTTGACACGACACGACTAACATGTTTATTAAATAGGTCATAATAGTATCGTGTCAACCTGTTTTTAATAACTCATTTATTAATCCATTTATAAAATGAGTGATAACAAGGTCGTGTCAACCTATTTTTCAACCTGTTTTTCTTTTAAAAATATATATATTTGTAAACATAGGTAATAAATGAGTTGTAATTGTATTGTGTATTCGTGTTATCCAAATATGACACGTTTAATAAACGGATTACTACGGGTCAATTACGGATTGACGGGTCAACCTGAAAACGACATGTTATTTAATTGTATTTCACGGGTTCAATCAGATTTTGATCCAAACCTATTTATGATAAACTCAAACCCGCTAACTTCGTTCAGGTTTCAAGTCGTATCGTCGTGTCGCTACCTGGATTGTCAACCCTACTCGATGATATATAACAGCTAAATTATATGATTGCTATCAAGTACCGGACGACCTCAACATCGATCATGTCGAGAGTGATGGAGAAAGGAAAGCTAAAGTCACAAATATCAACAATGATGAGACAACAAATGTGGCCAAAACTCAGCAGAAATTCAACAGATCAATTTTCCCCAAGTAACATTATCCATGTGGACTGAAGTGGAATTTCTTAATCTCGTCGGCAATTAATATTCTTTTTAACTGAACAATTCCAAAAAAAATAAAAATAAGAATCAATCTCTCTTTCATAAGCAAATAATCTAAGACGAGATCAATTGGGTCCAAATTGATATGAAAGTGACATTAAAGAATATAATTGTGTAATACTAACTAGCATAATACATTTTTATATATATGCGCAATTTACAGCAGAGAAATCTTTCAAGAATTTTGTAATTTAATCGTATAATTATCCCCTTTTTTTTTCATGCGTTGTGAATGCCATTAACACGCCATTACAAAAAACAATCCATGCTAAACGAATAACTAGTTTGTAACATTATTGTTATTATGTCATTAGTTGATTACGATATTGATTCATCAGTTTCTAAGGAAATAATTAAGAACATGAACGTAAATAAATAAGCGAGTAGTTCCAAAGAAGTTGCTTTCCAGGTTGTTAATTTTATTAAACTTGCCCGTAAAATCATCAAGGTATTCTTCAATGTAATTGTTAATATTGCAATACTAATGTCCGTATTTGCATGAAAGCACACGATAAAAGGCCGTCAAATATATCGCTGTTCTTCTCTTACTCCCCTTTTCTCCATTGTTCATCCCATATTCATTATGGAGAAGTATCTGAGCGTTAATAGTCCTACTACTTCACAACATTTCCACTTCCCTGCTGGTTTCAGGTTCCATCCGTCTGATGAAGAACTCATCGTTCATTACTTGAAAAACAAGGTGGCTTCACGTCCTTTACCGGCATCTGTCGCCGTCGAAATCGATCTCTATAAGTACAACCCATGGGAGCTACCCAGTTTGTTCTGCGCCATAATTTCATTTCATCTATTAACATCATTTCTTCTTTTTTAGCAGTCACAGGGACAGCCTTTTAACCTTTTTTTTTTTTTTTTTTTTTTTTTTTTTGGTCATGTGTGTGTACAGAGAAGGCTTTGTTTGGAGAAGGGGAGTGGTATTTCTTCAGCCCCAGGGATAGAAAATACCCCAAGGGAGAAAGGCCTAATAGAGCTGCGGGATTAGGTTACTGGAAAGCCACTGGAAGTGACCAGCCTATTTTCAGCTCTTTTGGATCAAAGCAGATCGGAGTAAAGAAGTCTCTAGTCTTCTACGCTGGTCGGCCTCAGAAAGGAACAAAGACGGACTGGTACATGAACGAGTACAGACTCCTTGACTCATCGATCAAGCCCCCAAATCTCAAAGGCTCGATGAGAGTGAGTTGGATTTTTTTTTTTTTTTTTCATGTTCATTCGATAATAAATTGGAGAAAGTGCGCGGATTATCCCCCTTAGTCTCCTTATTTTCACTCTTTATAAAATTCACTGTCGTTCGAATGATCTAGCCTTTTTGGTCACAGCTCGATGATTGGGTTCTGTGCCGGGTTCGATGCAAAGGCGACATGACAAAGAACACAGGGGATAATATTCAAGACAGCCACAGCACTAAATTTCTCTGCAGCCAACCAAATGTTGAGAAGACGAGACTTGCGCGTGCAAACCGTGACATGATCAGTGATTACATATCTAAAGACTGTTTACTACTAGCTTGGATACTTTCCGGCCAACCTCTACCTCCCGTGGACACCAATCTTTCAAATGTGAATTTTGAAGGAAGCGAAAATGGAAACAGCTTAAACGATTACGGTCGATTGAATTCCCATATAGTTTCTCCCACGGACAATAATTTAAGCTTACTAAACTGCATAATATCTAAAGAACAGCAATGCATAGGTAGCAAGAGCGAATATGAGAATAGTCTATCTAGCAAGACATTAGCCGAGTCTGATATCTATGAATACTTCCATAAACAGTCACGCTACAACATAATAAACTCTGATTGTCCAATGGATTCCATTGGCAAATTCCAAGAGCTCAATGAACTGGCCTTAACAGGGAGATACTCGCAGTGATATTGAAACAAGTCAACAACTCTTTTTCCTCCACGGTGATTAATCGCATACGGAAACAGGATACTATAGTTGTGTGTTTGTACACATTTGTCAAAAGTAGCCTATAGATCTAGGCCTTAAAGATTCACTCTGAATCTTGGAGGCAAAGAAAACATCCCGAGTGCGAAAATTGTAATCCTCCATACTGCAGCATTATGTAAACCAGTATTCTATGTACTTCAACTGAAGCATTTGTAATATTTGTGGTGCATTCGACTAGTTTACGGTTGGGTTACAACTCCTCTCTACCTAAAGGCAAAGTTTCTATACTGACATCTAAACCAGAAAAGTATGACAACTTAAAAACATAGGTTTCTAGTAACACGTTTCTTTCATTCTTACTGTAAAATACAACCTTTATTTAATTGCATATATGGCAATACATGTAAAGAAAAAATGTGCTTGATAACTTCATTTTCAAGAAAACACATTTGGCAAGTAATGTGTATCTACGAGTTATAACATTTTGTGAGAGTAAGGGCCATAATGAATTCAGATATTGCTGCTAAATTCCCATCCTCATGTAGCCGAATTTAGTTTTCTATCAAGAATATTTGAATACACAATTTACCTAAAGATATTAAAATGATAAAAGGGAAGCACTAAAAAATGGAAGAACATAATATACCAGGAACGTAATGATCCAACATTTCGCAGTAGAGGCATGTTCAAGATAAAATCAACTCAGTACACTGCAAGGAGAACACTATAACAGTCAATATTCAAGTGAAATGTTGAAAACAAGTTTAAGGATCACAAATCAGCAAATACTTTTTATGGGTGATAGATTGCTATTCAACAGTTAAGAATAAATCAAGAGCAGAAAATTGAAAGATCTAAAAACACTTGAAGCAATGTCCATTGAAAAAAAAAAAAAAAAAAAAAAAAAAAAAAAAAAAAAGGTTCCAATATTGTAAGGTCTCAGCGTGGCATTTAGTAGTCTTTCACTATGTACCCAGAAGATGACGTCAAATATCAATTCGTTACTTATGATCATGATCCAAGTTCAATCCATACCTTAAGAACAAACAGTAACCTTAAGATCATGACTAGTAAATCGGGTGTGTGCCTGTGTGGTAGATAAAGAGAGGGGGCAGAGAGAGATGAGCTTACTTGTACAAGTAAGAAACAATTCCCAGAATTATACATAGCAGAATGATGTCAATACAGAAGTTCCGACTGGACCTCACCTGGAAGAAAACCAAAGTTACTTATTTGGTTCATGTAGCATGAAAATGCGCACGTGTGCTTGTGTGTGTATAAACAGCAATACATTTTTCGTAGACTGTGTGAGATTTAAATAAAATAAGTAAGCTTACCTGGTTAAGAGTTTGCTTGAGCCTTACATTAGTATTTTTAATATCAGATGTCACCTTGTCTACCTATAAAAGAACAAAATCATAAATCGCCTGATATCATTTGTCTTTTTGACAAGAGTTTAGAGAGGGAAAAAAATTAAAAAAGAACGGTGTGCATAAAGGGAACAACTTCTAACCTTTGTATCTATTTCGTCAACTAATGGCACTTGTCTGTCTAATTCCTGGCCACATTCAAATAAATGCTCTTAATCTCTATATACTGCTGAAATGTAGAAACAAACTCAGTTTATACACCACAACAACCTCATTCATATCATGAGCCAAATTCTTCAGTGCATCTAGTCCTTCTGATATGAAGTCAAGTCCTTGATCCTGTGCAAAAGTTCAATCAAGAAATTTATGAATTGCTGGGGACTCAGAGTAGTTTCTTAATTAATTCAATCAGTTTACCCTATTACTCTTAAAAAAAAAATTAGAGAGAGAGAAAGAGATCAAGGCAGTTGTATGAATCAGGAATTTTACATGCCTGCTTCATTTTTCGCATTTCATACTCCTGTCTGAATTGGCTTGATTCTTCAGTTTGTTGGAAAAAATCACTATCAAAGTTGCCATCTGAAGTAGCAATGAAACAAGCTCATATTAGCTTAAAGGATATTCTGAGAGGAATTAATAACTTAAATAAGTAGGAAAAGAACTGATTACCTGATGTATCAAACTTGATATTTTTATTGGACGGTGAACTTGCCCATCCCCCGGTTTGTTTGGCTGAACTCATTGTACCATCTGGTATTGCTTGAATCCTCTCTGGTAGTGCAAGAACCAGATCATTATGGGTTTCCAAGTCTTCTTTGGAAAGCCCTTTAACCTGATTAGATACCATGTAAATTCATTTCAATAGCTTTCATTATTGATTCTGGGTATGCGAAATTTGGTCTAGAGGTAATAGGCAAATGAAAGACAAGGCTTCTTTAAAAAACGATATGTGATAGATAATCAACTCAAAAGATCAACATTCACAGGAACAAAAACATTGATATTGGCCTTTAATATACATCACGCCCAGGGTAGCATGCTTAGGCAAAATAAAAGAGAGACAAAACTCTCACATTGCTTAGGAAGTAAAGTGGGGGTGAGCTAAGGCCCATATAAAGAGGTGAAGGCTCTTAGTTTCAATTGCCCCAGTCAGGACTCAGAAGCACTTAAAGTAAGTATTGTCAAGATTTTCTTACTAAGGTTTGTAGTTTTCAGGTATTGCGTTAGGCGAGTATACTAAATGACATAGAATTAAGAACATAAATAAAATAAGATATCTTTTCAATTTACATAGCATTTTGACTACACAAGCAAAGCTATTGTACGTCTCTTTTCAGCCTTCTCTCTAGTTTTTATCCTTCTTGTTCTATTTTGGTAGTGTTAAATTTACAATCTAGTTTTCTCTAGATTCTTCTACAGCATACATCATTTTCTCCAACAACAAGAAACGTTCTAAGCACATGAATTATTGATATCGCCATATGAATTATTGATATCACCTCCGTTTGGACTTTTTCGATTAACTTTAGTTCATAAGTCAAAAACTTGTAACTTGTTTCCGTAAACACAAATCATATATATAATAGACAAAAATTAATTTCTTAAGTAGACATATATTTTTATATATTTTTATAGTGGCACAACTCTATAAAACTACCCCTTATCTGAGTCCCAAAAGTTTATTAATTAACCATAAGATCAATGGTTAAACATATAAAATTTGGCCATCACTAGGCAACCAAGTAAGTCTATGGTCTACCTTCTTCTGAGCCAATTTCCCCAATTTAGTAACTTCCTCCATCAATCGAGCCTTGCTCCGACGAACTTCTGCATTCAGCGCCACCGCGGACGCCCTATTCTTCTCCGTTGACGCCACATCCGCTTTCTGTAAATTGTAACAAATCTAATACTTTCTCAGTTTCAACGATTAACGAAAACAAATGAGAAACACAGATTCCTTTCTCTGATTCAGGAAATTTCTGTGAAATTTTCACTAGAAGAGAAATTAAGAAGAGAAAACGAACGAGAAGAGCGGCTTCGATGTCACGTTCAACGGATGCGTAGAGAAGAGAGAAAGGATCGCCGCCATTGGCATTGAGGTCGCGCTGCTTCTCGATGTCATACTTGTCGTATTTCTTGCATATGAAATCCACTCGGAACAGAATGTCTATCACGCTCATTTTTCCCACAAATTAGTTCAGGAAAAAAGAAGAAGAAAGGAGGTTTTGGGAGAGAAACGTAACTTTCTCTATCTTCCTGGCATGTTTCTCTCTCTAACTGCGTTTCGGAACGCCGATGAGGGAAAACGAGCGGTGGAGCTTGAAATGCGGTTTGGAGAGCAGAGGAATGGCGCGACAGCGTGGTCACTTAACGTGCGGGTTGTTTAACAAATCAGTAATTGACATGTCGTATTGTACACATGCATGTTATATTGTTATATTTAATTTTAACGTCGTTTATGCCTTTATGATACAAATGCGTGTTATTTTCTTCAGGTAAAAAGACGACATATATATGCATGAAGAAGAGATTTGGAAATAGTAGAAAATAGGCTAATATGAAAAGTTTAAGAAAGTATATAGGCTAATTTTTAGTTATAGAAATTAATATAACCAGTTAAGTTATGGATAAACTTGTCAAGTTATGGTTTATAGCCAGACAAATTATGGACAATTATGGACAATAACTTGTCAAGTTATGGTTCATATAACCAGACTAGTTATGAACGAAAACAATAATTTAGTCTATTTATTAACTTATGTAAACTATTGGCCTATTAATTTTAATTCATCTCAAGTCTTGACCTATTTCCTTCTTTCTCCTAAAGAGATATCGGTTTTTAAGAGTCCGTATCTGATATTTGATCGAACTAATGCAGGTGCTGTCGTTTTGTTGTTATTGTTATGTTTTGCCTAAGGCTAGATGTCGGTTTGCTTAGTTCCTATGGCTGATTGTCGTTTTTAACCTTGTTGTCCCATGAGAGGATGACAACTGAGTAGAGCGGCGAGTTTGGACCCGCCACTGTTAGCCTGGGCTGAGGTTTAAGCCTAAGAGCTTATTTAAGCCGACCCCAGTCCAAAATCTCTCCTTCTAAAATTTTTTTTGAAAATATCTTATAAAACTCCGGGTAGGCTTTAAAACCGAACTGAGCCTACTCTCTACCCTTTAGGGTCGAGCTAGACTGACCAAAAATTTCCATTCACACCATTAGATTAAGATTGGGCTGCCCGAACTTTCACTTCTACAACTGAGTGTTGAACTTGTAAGACTGGTTGGACGTGGTGAAGAAATCGATGTTTTGTACATGATGGCATACTGTTGGCATGAGTTGTATTTCCTATGTAATTAGAGTGATTATAGGAATGTTTAGTTAGCTTATTTGCTGTAAATCTCTTGTATTCGGGTCAACCTGATCACTAGCCTAAGATAGAACTTTTTCCTAACTGGTTCACGGCATTCCTATATGGTGTATTCCTAGTATAATGAAAGATATAGAAAAACTTCCTCTGAGTTATCAGAGTGGCTAGAACAAACCAAAAACGATGGCCGAATCAAACGATTTGGTAGAGCTTGAGCAGCGTGGTGAGAACTCTACAACTGCCATCCTCAAAAACTTGACGACTAGAATGACGCAAGTTTTGACTCAAAACCAAACCCAGACTTCAGCAACAACGTATGATGCTGCTGCTGCACAAATCGGTATCAAGCTTGATGGTACCAATTTTGCTCTATGGTCCCAAGTTGTTGAGATGTATGTCTCAGGCAGAGACAAATTGGGATACATAAATGGTGATCTCCCACAACCTGAACCAATAGATCCAACCTTTAGAAGATGGAGAATGGAGAATGCTATTGTTAAAGGATGGCTGATCAATTCCATGGACCCATCCTTAATCAGTAATTTTATTCGTTTTCCAACTACCAAACAGGTATGGGAGTCAATTGCTACAACTTATTTTGCTAGAACTGACACATCTCAGGTATATGATTTGAAGAGACGTGTGACTCGAATGAAACAAGCCGGGGGATCCATTGAATCATACTACAATAGTCTTCAAGGTTTGTGGAGGGAGATTGATTTTCGTCTTCCAAATCCAATGGAGTGCGCTGGTGATATACAAAAATATAACACTCTTTTACAGGAAGATAGAGTTTATATATTTCTTGATGGATTAGATGACAGACTAGACAAGATTCGGAGCGACGTACTTCGGATACAACCATTTCCTACTGTTGAACAAGCTTATGCTCATGTTTGAAGGGAAGATATCAGACAAACAATAATGTTGACAGGCACAGAGATTACAACAGCTGCTGTTATGGCATCTAAAGGAATAAAAATGGGACCTCAACAACCAACTACACTCCAAGTGGCCAAATCTGGTTTCCCATCTCCGAGTGGTGAAAAACCAAGTGCATCTACAAAGACTAAGGGACAAACAGAAGGTGGAGGAGGTGGCTGCTCCCATTACGGAAACATAAAACACACTCATGAAACATGCTTCAAGTTACACGGGTATCCAGAATGGTGGAAGGAACTCAAGGCACGGAAACAGAGAGAAGCCGCTGGTGGATCGAGAAGGGTAGCCTTGGTGAATGCAGAACCCTAATTATCTCTTGTTTCACAGGTTGAATCTCCAAATGAATTAACAACCACTCTCAGTGACCAAGGTAACAGTAGCTCTGCCTTGCTTGTCTCTAACGAAGATGATTATAGTGGTTGGATAGTGGATTCAGGGGCAACGGACCATATGACATTTTGTCTAAGTGACTTTGTCAATACTATGGAGCCAAAACGAACTAGCATCGTCAATGCTAATAGGGTTACTTATCCAGTTACAGGGGCTAAAACAGTAGCCTTATCACAGTCACTTTCTTTGTCAAATACTTTATTAGTACCATCTCTTTTAAATAAGTTAATGTATGTGCGTTAAGCTATTGAATAATTAAACTGTGTAGCTCTAATATATCCTACCTTTTGCCTCTTTCAATATATTCTCACCAAAGAGATCATTGGGTGTGGTACTAAGAGAGGGCGGTTATACTACATGGATGACTTCGGTTCCTGTAGAGTCAATAACATGCAACATTCGGTCAGTGCCAAAGAGAAACAGATTTGGCTGTGACATCGTCGTTTAGGGCACCCATCATTCAGTTATATGAAACACCTATTTCCTCAGTTATTTTTAAATTTAAATTATTCAGACTTTAAATGTGATACTTGCATTTTAGCCAAAAGTCATCGTGTACCTTTTCCAATTAGTTCAAATAAATGTGATATCCCCTTTGTTTTGATTCATTCTGATGTTTGGGGACCCTCCCCCATTATAACTGTTTCTGGTATTCGTTGGTTTGTGACTTTGTCAATGATTGTACCCGAATGACTTAGTTGTATTTATTAAAACATAAGGATGAGGTATTTGGCATTTTTCGTGCATTTCATGCTATGATTAAAAATCAATTCTCAAGTAAAGTTCAGATTCTTAGATCTGACAATGGAGGGGAGTATGTCAACCAAGAATTGCAGGCCTATTTTCAGTTACATGGCCTCCTTCATGAAACTTCTTGTGCTCAAACTCCACAGCAAAATGGCGTGGCTGAACGAAAGAACAGACATATTTTAGAAACTAGATGTGCCTTGTTAATTGGAACGAAAGTGCCTAGTCAGCACTGGGATGATGTTGTTATTACCGCCGTGCACCTACTGAATCGAATGCCCTCAAAGGTACTACAGTTTAAGACTCCATTACAGGCCTTGTCTAACCATGTTACTTTGCCATCCATTTTGCTTATTCCACCACGCATATTTGGATGCATATTTGGATGTGTCGCATTTGTTCATCTACATAAAAGTCAACGGACAAAACTTGATCCTTGCGTTGTTCGTTGTATTTTTCTGGGGTATGCCACAAACAAAAAGGGCTATCGATGCTACAATCCTTCCACCAAACGTACCTATGTCATGATGGATGTCACGTTCTTGGAATCTAAAAATTACTACTCTTCTTCGGTATCCACTTCTCGTCTGTAGAGGGAGACATGGGATGAAGAACATAAGTGGTCGGATTGTCCGAGACTTGAGGAAGTTTAAGAAATTGGTCAAGAACCTGAATCAGGCAAGGAAATAAGGGGAGGAAATGAGGTAATAACAGTTGAAGAAAATAAGGAAGATAGTGCAGAAAGTGCAGAAGGAAGCAAAAAAGATAATAGTGATATTGTTGAGGATAAGGAATATGAATCTACTGAAAAAACCCATCTCTCTCTTATACACGATAATGTTTCTCCTGAGAATATCCATGAGGTAAGTTCTCTTGCACCATCTTCTAGTTGTGTTTTGGATACTCCTACTGGTTATCACTTACCTTTCAAGCATAATAGAGGTAAGCCCTCAGTTCGATACTCACCACATGTTGAAGGAAAAGGATCAAAGTACCCAATTACCAATCATGTAACCACTAAAGGACTATATGAGCCTCTTAAAGCCTTTGTACACAAGCTGTCCTCTTCCCATGTTCCTTATGGAGTACATGAAGCCCTAACATGTCCGAAATGGTCTCAAGAAATTCAGGAAGAAATGGAAACGCTACAAAAGAACAAAACATGTGATCTTGTTCCGCTGCCAAAAGGGAAGAAAACAGTAGGGTGTAAATGGGTGTTTTTCATTAAGCATAAGGCAGATGGGTCTATTGAAAGATATAAGGCGAGGCTTGTAGTCAAGGGATACACACAGACTTACGGAATAGACTATCAAGAGACGTTCTCACCAGTGGCAAAATTAAACACTGTCAGAGTTTTATTATCTTTGGCAGTAAATTTAGATTGGTCATTACACCAATTCGACATGAAGAATGCTGTCCTTCATGGATATCTTGAGGAAGAGGTATATGTGGACATTCCACCAGATTACACTGCATCATCAAGCATTGCAGTTGTGTGTAAGTTACAACGGGCATTATATGGACTGAAATAATCACCTCGAGCATAGTTTGGACGTTTCAGCCTGGCCATGAGAAAATATGGTTTTCAACAAAGTAACTCGGATCATACCCTCTTCTTGAAACATCAACAAGGAAAGGTCGCTATTTTAATAATCTATGTGGATGACATGATTATCACAGGAGATGACGAAGAAGAAATCTCCAAGCTTCAGGAATATCTAGGCACCGAATTCGAGATGAAGAACTTAGGAGGACTAAAATACGTTCTGGGAATAGAAGTTGCCAGATCAAGTCAAGGTATATTTCTTTTCCAGAGAAAGTATGTGTTGGACTTACTATCTGAAGTGGGGATGATTGATTGCAAGCCGGCTGATACACTGATTGTCCAGAA